AGCCCTACTATGGTCCTTGTTTTTGTTCTGGTCACTTGATCATTTCTTCTGTGTCCAGTTCTTAATTCCAGGCCCTGTCCCACCCTGTACCGCCTCGCTGCATCTGTTCAACCTTCTAGATCAGGGTCAGCAGGGCTCAGGGTCGGGGTCTCCCACTTCCCTCGCTATCCGAGAAGCAGGGCCGGGTTGGGCTGGGCACGGCACTGCGGACAGTCTCGGGACCACCAGCACTAGCCAGTGAGTCTGGAAAGGCAGGAGGTGTCTTTTCCGGCTATAGGGCAGGACAGGGCGGGACGATTCTTCGGCCGGACAAAATGGGAAGGGGGTGCAGGTAGGGGTAAAGTGAGGAACTCTCGAACTCGACGGAGAGACACAGACAGACAGACAGACAGACAGAGCTGAGGAAGGACGAAGCCAAAACCAAGCCTGGACAGTCTCAGGCACTAACTTTGCTGCATGGGGTGATGGGAGGTAATCCCGTCCAACTTTTCAAACCACTTGGTTCCCACTGTAAAGACACCTTATCTAGCGTTTGAAGATGGCAGGAAAACTGCTCAACAGAGCAGAAGGGCACGAGCGCGCGCGCGCACACACACACACACACACACACAAACACACGTACGTTTTATTATTTTATATTTATTTTATGTTAGCATACAAAGTAATGTGTTACACTGTGGTATTTTCATATATGCGATTGCACAAACTCTTGAAAAACATTCAAGAAACAGCAAAGCGAGAACTATGTCAGGGCGCAGGGCTTGGGAGCTGAAGAGGGAGAGCAGAGCGTCAGAAGGGAGAGGTTGCTGGGCGTTGTGTCAGCACCACTTGCTCCTCCCCCAGGAAGGACCCGCGACCCAGGGACTCTTATTTTTGTGGTTTTGCTTGTCTGGCATTATCGACCCCAAGATCTGATTGCCTCTTTCATTTGCCTGAAGGTGGATAGGTGTGTCTCAGGAGGCGGATTCTGGGTGGAGCCCTGGTCTTGTCTTTTCTTATCTGGGAGACACCGTCCCTGGCAGTCTCTTGTTGGAATGCGAAATACGGAATCTGCTGGAGACCTCACACTCAGGCTCTTGGTAGGCGAAGGTGAGGGGGTTCGCCCATGGTTGGGGTGTGCTGGGGTTGGGGCCTCAGGACTATGGGAACCTCAGCCTCTTAGTGGTATTAGGCACTTTCTGCCTTCTTTTATTTTCAGTCACAGTTATTTTTGGGAGTAGTTGTTTTCTCCCTGACGGGAGTCGGATACTGGTCCAAGTTATATTTGTTGCAATTAACAGGTGCCCGGTGACTAAATAGGGCAGGGCTGGAAGCTTCCCTTGGGATCACCTGGTTCCAGAGGCCTTGAGAACTTATTGGCTCAGGCCCTAGTGGCTTGAGGGTACCAGGAGGTCCCGGGCTCCTGCTCCTCTGAGAGTACTAGATAGAACCAATTCAGTTGCTTTTGCTTTGTCTCTCTTAGGAGGAACTCCCCAGAGGATGCTTTGGGGGAATCCTCCTGCCCCCATCCCCTATGATAGGCCAGTTTTCAGGGGAATGCCTGAGATCAGAAGGTGTAAGAAGTCCCCCAGTGGCTGAACTTTTTTTTTTCCCCAGGAAATGTCCTGAGTCACAGGACAGGAGCGGCCTTTCTCTGGCTATACTTGCCCTGAGCAGCCATTTCCCCAGTTATGTGACACTTCTGTGTCAGGGGCTAACCATGAGTCTTATTTCCTGGGCATTTCTGGGTCTTTAGTGGGACTTCTAATGTAAATGGTTCCCTCAGGTTCCCTAGTCTAACAAGCCAAGTCACTGGGATGTCAGTAATTAAATCAAAGCTGAGGTGTGAATTCAGTCCAGTAGGTCTCTAAGGTTATGGGGCTTTCTCATCAGCTTTTCTCATCGCCCACCATGGCTAGAAAATGGCTAAAAGACAGATGCTATGACTTTGGGGGAAGGGCTGGAGGAGTGGAAGGGAGGGTGCACTGGGTGGGGACTGAACATTTAAACACCTGCAGTCAGGTATAAATGTGATTTTATTTGAAGTGAATATGCTTTCTGTTCTGTGCTTTCTGCTCATTTTAGATACTTAAATTTTATTTTCTAATTTAAAGTTCACTATAATTTACATACACTAAAGTCCACAAGTCTTAAGAATTTTTGGTTCATTGAGTGGTAAGGTTTTTGGAGGGACAGTCCTTGGCCATTTTCGATGGAGTGGCTGAGGTCTTGTGTAACAAAACTTTTCCTGGGGAGATGAAACACATAATGTCTACTCACCTGGGATAGGGACAAACCAAATTATGGTTACCACCAAAGTCCAGCTTGGTGATCCAGTGAGTGTTTATTGGGGTTACATACAGGAATATGGGTGAGGGTTCACTTCCAGGAGCAGAAATAACTCATAGACACTGAATCACCAATTCCCACCCCAGCACAGGTGACAGCTCACAAAAGCTAGGAACCTGGAGCACACTGCACATCCTACAGGCAGCATGACAGGTTGGAGAGTGTCCTTTCCTTTCCAAGTGACTCTGGTCTAATCTGGTCTAAACATCTTCCAGGCAGCTCAGCTGGTTTCTGCTGCTTCTAGGCAGCTGGTATGCTCTCTGTCTTCTTTGCAGCTCAACTTCCTTGTCTGTGAGGGACTTTCAGCTTTATTGCTTGTCTGGCAGGAGGAGTCTGGTGAATCTGATCACCAGAGACTTCCTGAAACTATCATGTTGTTAGTTAAGGAACATGTTGTTAGTTGCTTAAGGAACTTCCCTGAAGGGTGAAATGTTTTAATCTAGGATGAAACTGTTACACAACAGTTTTGATTGAGGTGTGTGTTTGGGGGTGAGGATGGAGTTTTTGATGAGGGCATTTGAACCCAGGACCTTTACACACCAAGTCTGGGATGTTATCCATTGAGCTGTAAATACCCTAAGCCCTGCAAATATTCTACCTCTGAGCAATATCCCCTATCCCCTTTTGATCTGCCATTTGTTTTGAAGCAGGGTCTTGGGCTCTCTACATAGATCCCCTGTCTCAGTTTCCTAGGTGTTGGAACCCCGGGTGTGCTCTACTGCACCTGACCTCACACACTTCAGTGCGGATTTGTTTTTATATTTTAAGCCTCAAGACCATTTTGTTAGAATTGGAAGAAAATGGCAAGATAGGCATGCATGAATCCTGGCAAAGACTGGGAGGAGTATTTTGAGTTGTGGTCCAAGGGCAGGCTCATGGAAGCCTGTGAGTTTGAGGCTAGCCCGGTCAGCCAGTCTGTTACACATAGAAACTGTGTCTCCCATAGATAGGACTTAGATTCCATTCCACTCTGAGAAAGAGCCTTTCTCTTAATGGGCCTCGGCAGAATCCTGATATTTGTGGGAGAGGCCATCTTCAATGGCTTTCATGCTTGTTAATGCCGGTCTGGCTACCCATCATCTAGGAGATAGATGGCTGCCTAGTAAAGCTGGGTACTTCCATCTGAAATGAAGGCATAAAAGGCCCTAGTGCTGCCACACTTGCTGACTTTCAGGCACTGGAAGATAATCCAGGGGACCCAGTGGGGAAAATCCATACACTGTAAACAACAGGAGGTACAGTAGTGTGGCTCCTGAGATGAACAGGTTATTTCCTCCATGGAAATCTGGGCATTGTCTGTGTGACCTGAACCTGATTTTGTAGATTGTGTAAAGTAGATGAACCATTTAGTGGAACTGTCAGGTTACACAATAGTGTTTTGTTTGTGGTCAGGAAAGGTGAGAGGTTTTTACTCCAAGTTCTCTTCCTGGTGTGTCAGTAGCCCAGGCCTGAGGCACGATTCATCCCTTTTACATCTACTCACTTCTCTGATTTTCTGTTTTCACTAGTTCTTTGACTCTTTGGCTGTACATTCTTGCTGGGTGGTTAAGACCGTGGTATCCAAAATGTGCTCAATTTCCTTTTTGTTGCTAAAGGCTATTGTTGCTTCTTAAGGACTTTCAAGATCCCTTGAAGTCTCTTTGTCTCCCCTGCCAGCTTTGCCATCAGCAGGGATGAGTCGGGTTTGCTGACCATGTTGTTTCCCTTGGAAGTCCTGAGGGCTTTCTCTCTGTGTTGACCCTCCTCTTTGCAGAATGTGCCATCATTAGATCCAACCTATGCCTCACCAGGGCTCCAGTCCAGAGGACAAATGACTTGCAAGAGCTGTCAGGATCCTTGGAGAACTGTCCCATCATCCCTGGGGCCTGATTGACCCTGGGGTAGGGTTCAAAATCATGGCTGTTCTTTTAGCCCTTGAATCTTCAAGTTGGGCTGTTGAACACTCCTACCCCTCAGAAGGTCAGTTACAAGAGCCTTGAAGAGAAGCTTGGACATAGGGCACATCTGATCACTTTTTACAGATCTAGACTGGGAGGTAAACATTTATAGTTAACTATGATTATTTATTTTGATCTTAAAGCTTAAATTACCAGTCACTCTCTCTAGCAAGTTGACCTAAATTCTGAGTGACATTGTGCAGGGACAAGTTTGCTTTCTTGGGGATTAAATTTGTCCTAATCCTAGTGACTACATTTGATGAGAACCAATGTTCAAGGAAGAGTAAGGGCAGGGGCTGGGAACTGGCAGGGACACACACTACTAATCCCAGACCTGGTGAGAATAAAAACCCATGGTTTACTGGGAATTGGGGTACAGTTCCCCCTAGTCTTTAAATTGCTTTAGTTATCAGGATCTAAGTTCCCCAACTGGTGATGGTCAGGGTCTACAAGTTGCTTTGACCAGTGGGATACACAAACTCTCTCACAGAGATACACACACACTCAACACACACCGACACTCCTACAGACACCTTCGCACACAGTATCTCTCTCTCTTTCTTTGTCTCCCCCCCGCCCCAACACAGAGCATGCCTTTAATTCCCTTCCTGGAAGAATCCAGAGTGATGGGGAGGCAATCCTAAAGAGCCTTTTATTCCAGTCACTGTGTTGGAGGCTGATAGTTCCAAGGCAGTCTCTGTTCCCTTTAGGACCCAGTTGGTACATTTAGGTAAAGATCTAAAAAATCAGCTTATGGTGTTATTTATATATTCCTCTCCAAGAAATTTCAGCTAGCACCAAAGCAAAGGCCTTGAGACCCATGGTGACAGGGAGATAAAGCCTGAAGATGAAATTGGGAGAATAGTCAAAGAGTAGTCACTGATGGGCCACCGGGTCTGTTGTTTGTGATCCTCCTGTATGTTACCAGAGAATCAGGGTTCTCTTCTGCAGGGGCTTAGTCTTGTTGGTAAAAAGAATTTAGAAACAAACTCAGAAGGAAACTCAGGAACCATTTTATGAAAATGTACAAGAACAGCAACAGGGCAGGTTAGCTGCTGGGAGGAAGGAGCTGTGTAAGTGGGAGAGAGAGAGAGAGAGAGAGAGAGAGAGAGAGAGAGAGAGAGAGAGAGAGAGAGAGAGAGAGAGAGAGAGAGGGTCCAAGGTAGGCTCAGCTGTGGAGGTCTGCAAGCAGTTGTGCTGGGTGTCAGCTATCTACAGAGCAACAGTGATGAGCAGAGGGTCAGAATGAGTGTGCTTTCCAAAGGAGAGATAGAATGAGAGGAAAGAAACAGTTAGTTAGACCTTTTGTGTTAGAACTCTGAAGAGCAAGAAGGCAGGAAAATATAAGCAACGTCTTTTATTTTTTTTTAATTTTTTTGAGACAGGGTCACACTTAGCCCATGCAGGCCTAGATTGTATGTAGCTAAGGATCACCTTGGATTTCTGACTTGCTTCCACTTGAGTGCTAGGACTGTAAGGGTGCACTGCTGTGCCATGTTTATGTAATTGCTAGGGACTGAACCTGGGACTTTGTATATGCCGAGCAAGGAGCTCCATCCCAGCACAGTTGTCAGCACCTATATAAGCAACTACCCAAAATGAGACAAAATATTTTCATCAAGCATAGAGAGATGGCTATCAGCTAAAGATTCATTCTACTCTTGCAGAGGACCTGAGTTTTGTTTCTAGCACTCAGAACAAGTCAGGTGGCTCATAAATGCCTATGACTCTAGCTCCAGAGGACCTGATACCTTCCTCTGACCTCAGAGGGCCCCTGCATGCATGTGCAACACCCCATAGAGACAGACACACATACCCGTCATT